TTCTTTTCAATCTTTTAGTCTGGCCTACTGCCCTAAGAGCTCTGATGTCTTCCATCTAACTCCTACCTAACGTATTCAGTTTTTGAAGGTGAGCCAAGTACTCTCACTGCTCTCAGATGCTTTTACATTATAGGTAATCCTCATTTAGTGATTACAATTGGCACTGGCAACTTGGTCATTAAGTGAAACTGTGGGAAATGTGAGGAGTGGTTGTAAAATTGCTTTTTCATCACTGCAAACAGTCACTAAATGAGTACTACATATAAGCTTAAAATATAATTGTGCACCAGTAGAGCATATTTATTTATTTATTCAATTGTGCACTAATTACAAAACATCTGATATTTCATTCCCAGCATTAATGACAATTCAGATACATGTCCAACTCTCTAGAATGGTCCCTCTATCAACAGCACTTCAGTTGTGGAAACCTCTTCCAAAATCAGTAACTTGATCTTCATTATTTGAATGTACCTAGATGTTTCTGTACAATCAGGACTTTAATTCTGCATGTTTAATGTTTATTTTCAGTATTCATGCTATATTTTCATTGTTTGTGATATGTAGCTTTTGTTTCACTACTGAATTGTTTTATATTTTATAATACCTTGCTAGATATTTATGAGTCAGTGGATGAAATTAATAAAAACAATAAATATATAGGTATTTTCCATGAAGAAAAATTGCTGCTACACTTTCATTTTACCTTTTTGCTTCAGTTACATAAAATGTGGCATAAATCACTGAATTTGATTTTTTTATTTAAAGGGGCAAAAAAATTCACTTTTCATCTAATTTGAGCAGAATTCAATTTAAAAATACATTTGAATCAGCTGAAATTTATGTAGATTTGTAAACAAAAATTGAATGAAGTCTCTCAGGGAAAAAAATAAACTCCATGTTAGATTGGAAAACTGAGGTTTTTTTCCCCTTTCTTTTTTAAGCAGTTAACAGGAATGACTCCATATTCCAAACAGCTAACACGTGAATATATTTATTTCATATTTGTTTATCTTTTTCGTTCATTGTTGAAAGTTCAAAGGACTAACATTAAAATGTATGATGCATATAATGTATATAAAACAATGTTGCCTTAAAAGAACTTCAAAATAATATGGTCTTTTATCAGATTTGCTAAAATAACACTTTAATATAATGAACGCAGACGTTGTTTGTTTTTCAACAATACAACTTTTTAAAGGAAACCAATCATAGTACCAGTAAAACTTTGGGAATCATGTCAAGCTGCCTCGAGAACCCCCACTGCGAGATCAGTGGCAAATAAATTTAACAAACAAACAAACAAACAAACAATATAAATATCCCCAGTTCATTTTTCCTTGTTATAAATCTCAGTAGGTGACAACATTTAGATGGCTTTGACTGACCATAGAACCTAAGTGAAGTGAACTTTATCCTGGTTAGTACTTGGATGGGTGACTATCTAAGAAGACTAAGACTTTTGACTAGACTTGGAAGCAAATAAATAGATACCTTAATGCCACAACAAGGCAGTGGCAAAAAATTGTCAGGAAAACCTCAGGGATGCTTTCACTAGGAGTCAAACTTTAGGACATCAATTTTTGTCAATTTCACCTATTTGTAAACTAATAATAATCTAAACTGCAATGATATTTTATTTCCAGAAAAGGCAGAACTTTAGGGGAAAAAAATCTGTTACAGTTGAATTTATATCACTAGAAAATGCAGTAACTGGAAATGTCGTTTTGTATGCTACACCAATTGGGATGGGAAAGAAGAAAGCTACAGGTGGCATTGGAAGATACCTCATTGACAAAGCATAAATTATTTATCTCTTTGGAAAACAAACTTTTAAATGTGTCTCAGAATAAGTTCTCGATTAGCCCAAGCAGTTAGGTGAAAGCCAACAGTGCCCTTTCAGTAACTCCTTGTTCCCGTGCTATAAGGTCATGACCCATATCACAAGGCAGAGTTTCTGCCTTTAGGCAACTTTCCTTATGACTTTCAAAGAGAATGCTTCCAAAATCTAATTATTTAGATGCTAATCAACTGCAGCACAGTTCTGAAAGCCTCTGAAGATATTTCTGAAATAACAATTTTAGTAGTGTTGTTGCTTTTTTCATTCTCAAAGATAGGGAAGCACTATTTGATAATAATTATTAAAAACTTAATTTGTTTTAATTTAATCTGCTTGTGTTTTTATTAAGTTTAGACAAGGTGGAAGCAAATTTTACAATGATTGTTAACAATTTGGAGATAAATAATCCTGTTACAATGAAATATGAATTACAAATACTACAAAAGCTTAGAATGGAAAAGAGGGCCATCATAACATCTTGATAAATTGAATGAAATCTTGGGAAGAATAATTCTACTCTACCCCACAGATATTATGGACCAAAATACCACTCAACACTATTCAAAGAATTAGTGGCATATAGAAAGGCAACCCAATAATAGGCAGAACTCCAGATTTATCAAAAATTATGGATTGAAAATGTAATTTCTGCTTAATATTTTAGTAAAAAAATAGCTTTTAATAAAATTAGTTTTAGTCGGAAAAATTTTATCTCCTAAAAATTGTGGTATGTTCCTGAGTTTAAAATTGTAGAGTTATGATAGTTTACTGCAGAATTAAATTTGGGGATAACTGGATTTATTTAATTCAAATTATTTGCAATCTGCTATTTGAACAACTATAGCAAGTTAACAATAGTATATTAAAAGCACCCATAAAATATATAACAATGTTTAAAAATCTCTGAAAATGTGTTCCTGGGTTTTTAACACACAACCCCCTCCCAACCTCCATTTCCTCTTCAGAGGAAAAATAGTAAAATCCTGTTCTTCTCTCTTCCAGTGTATCAACTGTGGGAATTGATGTAATTGTTTTAAAAAAACAACTAAATCTAATTATTGAAAGCAGCAAATGAAATTTATAAATTTAACAGCTGTTTTCCAAATTCATTTACTACAACTATTGAATATTAACAAGCTTGCAACATTTGGGATGGGGTTTTGTTATTGTTTGTTTTATTTTGCTTTTTGAAAAAGAAAGTAAACAGCATTTGTAGATTACTTTGATTTTTTTTTGAATCACTGGACTTTGAAGTTGTATACCAGCTGCTTGCATTTATATCATGTAATGCAAAAGTCTGTATGGGGCAACTCACAAAATTCCAGCGAGTTTATAAAGGGATTTATTCCAAGTTTAGTAAGGCTGTAGCCATTGAGTGAACTCTGGTGATTTTCATTTACAGTGAAGAGTCCAATTTCCTATATAAGAAAAAATGCCTGTATCACTGTCTATAACATCTGCTAACTATGTTTCTATAGCTTCAGAGAAACTAGACTATGGTAATGTTAGCCCTATCAACTTCAAGATTCTTCTCCAGATAAATCTGTCCACTCTACAGAATCTGGCTATCTATAGAAGCTACTACAGATATCCACAGAGAGACTATGGCAATGGAAACCCAGAAAACAGCATTCTTGATCATAACCACACATTGTAAATTAACTCATCAGTTGAAGACACCGACCTTTTATCCTTTAAGAAGGCAGCTGGAGCTATTCCTCTTCTACAGGGCTTTTTTGTGGGAGGAGGGGGAAGAGGGTTCTGTTAAAAAATAGGAACACATTTTTAGAGGTTAAAAAAAGATTCTATAATTTTATGGATGTTTTTAATACTGTATTGTAAACTAGCTAGAGTGCTCAAGAAGGTAGACAATACATTTATTTTTGCTAATTCATACTCTCATGCTTTCTGCATCTTTCATAGGTGTTCCTCATTAATATAAAAAGATAAATGTCCCCTGGTTTTAAAAAGTTTAAGAAGTGCTGTGGTGCATGTTCAATAACATGATTAATATAATACAATGCAATGTTAACATAACATAACATAACATGACAAAGCAGCCTAACCTAACACAACACAACATAACATATAATCTATTTCTCTATATACATACATACATACATACATACATACATACATACATACATGTGTGTAAGTTTATATACTGAATGTTGTGTGTGTGAGTGAGTACTCTGCATTATGGAGGCCTTGCAGTGCACATCAGAGAAGTAAAGAAAAAGATTTTCATTTCAATGTTCAAGAGTAATAAAAATACACTACAGCTAATGACTTTTGTTGCTTAAATGTTTGGGAGGTTGTTGATTAAAACAACCAAACCAAACACATCTCTCTTTGAACCTCCACAGGGCATTTCTAGTTCTTTTGACTATCTTTGATCTTGCAACTGGTTTTAGTTTTCCTTGTAAATTTAAAGCCATAATTTCTCAATCAAGCTTAAAGAAAATTGTAGTTTAGATTTGGTGCTGTCTTTTCTTTGCTGGTATTACTGTGCTTTTGCCCTGTGTATCGTTTTAAAAGATGTCATTGGCAGCAGAAAAGATGTCATTGGCAACAGAAGGTAACAGGCAAGGATGGGAAATGAAAAAGTGGGGCCAGAATGGCTGGGCTTGCTCCTTCTTTTTTGTGTAAGAACATAAACTATTGGAGAGGTTTGTATCTGTGTTATAATATATATAATATTGATATTAATCAGAACACACATTGTTTTTCACAGCTTGGGCATCTGTTACCATGTCACTGGAAAACAACATATACCCTTTAATGGGAAAACAAGATTCCTACAGATAAATAATTGTTGCTTCTTTTTTAAAGAACATAAAAAATAGTAGAATAATAGAATTTTAAAGAACTAACCTTATAGAGTATTAGAACTTTAAAAATAATCATGGTGAAAACATGTTACAATTAAAAGATATCACTGTGCTCACACATTAGAAATCACACATTAGAGATTTTCCATGTTTGTATATTAGAATAGAATGCCAGTTATATGTTATTACCAAAATTTATGTGATGTGTCTATTTTTGGAATCAAAGAACAGAAACCAAGTAACAGATATAGGAATAATAAAGTAATTTGTGGATTGCTTAAAATATAGCTTATAGCCTCACCTTCTCTCCCTTTCTTTTTTTATTTTAGGTAATGGGCCTCTTAACTAACCATGGAGGAGTCCCTCACCAACCCCAAACTGACTATGCCTTGTCACCATTAACTGGGGGTTTAGAACCAACCACCACAGTGTCTGCAAGCTGTAGTCAAAGACTAGATCATATGAAAAGTTTAGATAGCCTGCCGACATCTCAGTCATACTGCCCACCAACATACAGCACTACTGGTTACAGTATGGATCCTGTCCCAGGCTATCAGTATGGGCAATATGGACAAAGTGAGTATTAAATCATCAACAATGTATGTGTGTTCCTGGAATCTATCTCTTCATCATAGATTCTGGTGGTTTTTTGTTTTTTAACCAATTAAAAATCTCATTCAAACAACGAGCAGTTATCAATTGTACAACAAGGTGCTGGTTTGAACTGGGAGGAACCAAGTTCAAAACTATTCTTGGTTGGGTAAGCTAACTGAGTTGCAGAATTAGATTGTCTGCCCCAACAAACTCACTATTGTTGAGATAAAATTGGAGACAGGAGAATTGTGCATACTGCCTTAAGCAGTTAGACAAAAGGTTGTACCAATTTATGAAAAATATTTAGTCATAAACCTGCAGGAGATTAGTTCTGGACTGACAACTCTATTTAGAGGCTGAGTTCTTTCTATTGTATATGGTGATGATCAGATAAGTATAGTTCAACCCAGCAACATCTGCAGGAAACCTGATGGTACCAAAATGATGACATAGATGATGACATAATTGTGCAAATACTGTGATTACATATTTGTGTCAGGATATCTTTCTTAACAAGATGCTTGTGTGATTAGATTGCCACTCATGTATTGCAATTAACCTCCCCTTCCCACTTGCCCCTTGGACACCCATAGTGTAGCCTTTAGCCAGATCAGTGAAGTTGCATTTATACTGGTTTGCATCACAGTGGATGCAACACCTTAATCATTCCTTTTCTATCCTGGCCACATTGAAATAATCAGAATGAATAGTTATCAGTCCTATCTAGTATATTCCTAGGCAATATTGACTAGGCTAGTTGTCATGATGGAAACCATTCAGGATATCTATAGGACACCTGGTTGGGGAATACTGCCTTGATGTATCTCTTGATGATTTGGAGGATGTTGTGTGCATGAGCAAACTACTGTATTTTCAGTGACCTTGCTGTTTCCTAAGCAGCCTTTTATATTGTTTGAGGGATTAAAAATGTAATCCAGCAATGGCTAGGAGAAAGGAAGGAAAGTGATATCTTTTTCAGCAAAATCTGATGGGTAGCCAGATCTTATAGTAAAGTCTGTGTTATACAGCAATAAGAATTACACCATTGTACTGAAATGTACGTTTTGAGAGATATGAGAAACTTGGTACTTTTAAAAAAACAAATTTGATTAAAACTTGATGGGGTCATGATGCTTCTCAAAACCACAAAATGCATGCAGATAAGTAAAATAGATATATTTGATACACATTATATTTAATAATAAAATATAGCATAATATTTCCAATAAAAAAAATAAAATGCATTTTCTTCCTATTGTAGAGATAGATGCATTTGCTGCTATGACAGTAGATAATTTCAGCAACATTTCTGCTGCATAATTATTTTCTAAAGTGATGTCAACAACATCTTGATGTTATTAATTGTTGAGACATGAAACCTGATTGCCATTAGGTAAAACAGAGGAGTTGTCCAAAATGAAATAACCACTGGCATTCCACTATTAGAAACACATGTTCTTAATGAGGTCAGCTCAAGAATCATTATAGTATATAATCCCAGATACATAGAGTTTTGTCAAACTTGTCTAAGAATAAGCATATTAGTCTCTTTCCTTTGATATATTAGTATTAAATATGACAATGTCAACCTGTAGTTGACACTGCCCCTTGCTGTGGGGTTGTCACAGCATGACTTAAAAAGCTTATTATGCTTCTTCTTTCTTTTTTTCTTTTTACAGGTGCCTTTCATTATCTGAAGCCAGATATTGCATAAGTGAATGGTCCATTTCACATTAAAGTTGGTCTTGGTCCTGGTCTCAGTCCAGTATTTGGAATGGAGAAATCTTCTCACCAAAATGAGGCCCAGAATGCAGAGATCGTACTAGTGATAAATGGGACTATTCTTTTCTCATCAGTGCTTTCAATAAGGCATTTGAATATGTTGGGTAAAGCAGCTCAGAAAATAAAGAACTACAAACAGTACCAGAAATAAAATAGTTCAGTTCACCATGGCATTGGCTAAGAACAAATAAGAAAAATAGAAGTTTTCACATTGCTGGGTTGAAGTAAGCATTCCATTTTTAGATTGATGAAGATCCATGGATTAACTTGGACATTGTGGTCTGAGTGCTGCAAAATTGGAACTTTTTTTTTTGAAACTTTCAGTGCCGACTTTTGATAGTGCTCAGTTTGCAAAGCATGGGCTGAAGAACCTTGTTTAACACACTGGAAAATGACCTTGAAAGGAAATGTTAAAGTCTGTAGGGTGCTAGACTAGATGTTTGAAGACTTCCACAAATAAGTTATTGGTTATCTTCTTGTTTTTGTAATCCTGTTGTTGGTCAGTGTCACATACAAAAGGACTTTTCTTCATAACAGCAAATGACACATTTTGTAACATGAAGAAAAGTTTTGCAAGATCGTTTGTGTTTGAAATTTTCCTAGTCCATGTTACCTCCTGAAAGAAACAAACAAAAATACAGAATAACTTTAATTTCTATGATTGCTTAACAATGTGCAATATGGCGTACCTCACCAAGCTTTGGCTGCATCCAAGGCATTATATATAGAATCAAAATTATATTTTTTCCAAGTACTTTTATTTTTACAATGCATATTTCACTCTTTTAGTATATAGAGGTGTCACAGTTTGCTTCAATGATCTCCATTTTATTAGATCAAAAGGGACTTTTGGGGGAAATGCTACATTTAAAATGCTTATGTTTACATTATTTCTAGAAAATTCAGGGCATAAATCACTATGTCTCTGTAGTTATCATGTAATTTTAAATTATACAATTGCATCTTATATAATTCAGTGGAAACCAAGGTTTACATACATGTTGTGACATTTCCAAATGTCAATAAATTTATCTTTTGAAATGTTAGGAGGGACAGGAAGATGGCAGACAGTGTTATTTATTTTTCTTTATTCTTGGAATGGTGAGTGAGGTAGAGCACAAATTCATTCCTTTTAGCATTCAGTTCAATGAAATTAGTAAATTAGTAGGACTAGGATATCGTACAGAATTTAGTTCACACATTGGTCTTAAAGAGTGATTGAACAAAATACTATCTTTATGTTACATTCTCTATCAACAACACATGTGTTGTAAAAACAAAAAAAATCTCATATTAAAAAAGCGCAGTAAATATTTACTATTTATAATGAATAAACAGCTATGGAAACTTGCTAAGCACTTACTGCTTTTGGTGATGAATTTTGTGAGCTTGTATTAATACAATATCATTGGATTTTTCAGAAAACACTGCTGTTCACCAGACAAAATATATATGATATTTTATCATAAAAAAGAAGAATGAGGAAAAATCTTTGTGTTCTTTATGTATGGAGTTTCTCAATCATGCAGATCATGGTTGTCCCAAAGATGCTTTTCCAAAAGGCAATTAGACTTTCTTGGTTTTTTTTTCCTTGAAAACATTTCACTTCTCATCCAAGAAGCTCATTGGCTGAGAAGTGAAATGTTGTCATGGAAAAACCAAGAAAGTCAAGCTGCCTTTTGGAGAAGCATCTTTGTGTCTTTTCCATTCTAATCTGGAGCCTAGTTCAACCTTGTCTCAATATTGCTAATCAACAATCTTGCTAATATGTTGTTTTGAGAATTGAATAGTTTTTCTCGCTGGGTCTTTTAATGGTATGTGGGAATGATCTTGAAGATTGAAGAGAAGGGATGCTACCAAAAAAATGAGAAGGGGAAACCCTTAGTTGCTTAATGATCAGGGGAAAATACATATTGTAGGAAGGCCCCACCATTATTAATCAGGCTGTTAATAAGTACCAGTGGGAAGTTTATATCTTCAGACTTGCAATATTCTGTTAACATAGCCTTACAGTAAAGTAAAATTAGCTCATTTAGTCATGTTTCGTGTCTGGTTTACCTGGAAGGGCTGACATCAATTTTGCAAGTTGGAAGCTACAAACTTCCCACTGCCACTTTTAACTGCCTGATTAATTAGGGCAGATTCTTCCTAAGCTATTTCCTCCAATTGTGAAACCACTGCCCCACCAGCTCTTGTCTGTTTCTTCCCTCTTCCACTCAAGTCACCCAAGGCCATTCTCACATACCATTACACTCTGATGCAGTTAATTTGAAATTGAAACAAGCTATTATTTGCTTTGAAATTCTATGGGTTTATAACACTTGTGGGCATTCCATTTCCAAATAAATTCCCTTATTTCATGCTATGGGAGAAGGGCTGTGACTAGCATTTTATCTTCATTTTTCTTGGAGAAAAATGGCAGGATTTTTGTGACTCCTTTTACCTTGCCTCCTCCCCAGAAGGAGATGTGTCAATTAAATTATGATTTTTGATTAGCTTATGGAGCTCTGTTTGTTATCAAAATTTTAAGAACTGAAGGAGTAAAGTCAATCACAGGTTGATTTCACACTGTTTGTGATGACTGGATGAATAGAAGTAAGACATGCTCTTTGTCAAACCATTGGTCCATCAAGCTTAGTTCTGCACATATTGATTACCAGGAGACAAAGGTGATTACTGCTGCCCTCCCTTAAAATGAAAGAGAACAAGGGTTTAAGAAGCTTTTATCTGATCTTCTGTGTTATATTATTTTCAAGCAGTAGACATGATAGCTTGGTACTACCACTATCATTTTCTGAATTATTGATTATTGTTGCAGCTTTCCTAAATCTCAGGTAAGTATCCTTTACATAGCCCTACATGTTATATGAGATTAAGCTGGAAAAAAACTCCTTTATTACTGTGCTTCTCTCCTATGTCAATATCATCTGAAAGGAAATTAATACCTTGGTCCCATTCTAAAGTTTTATTTTTTAAAATGTCCAAGTTCAACTGGAGCCAAAAATCATTATTAAAGAATGTATCCTGTTTTGCTCCACAAACACTCCCCCCAAGGGTTGAAGTCTTTATAGGGCTTTATCAACTCCAAATAGTACTCCCAATATTCAATCTTCCTGCTCCCAGGAACTAGTGCAAACCTCATCAATCCAATTTTCCTATCTGGAAATGCAGAGCAAGCCTATAAAGTCTCCGCACCAGGTTCAGTGTACAAAGACAAGTTCACAATCTGAGTATAAATAACTAAAACCAAAATCCTAGTCAAAGGTTGAAGAAGCAAGTACAAAGTACAAAAATAGCATCCATGTCCAGCAGCAGAGTCAAGATTTAAATCCATGGCAAGAATCACAACGGCTGAATGAATGCACTGCAAGAAACTGATAAGTTGTTGCTATGATGCTGTGCTCCACATAGTGGGTTAAATAGCCATGACCAGTGCAACTCATCAGAGGGGTGAAGCTGCTGCCTCACTAATAGCCTCACTGACATTCATTGTGCCTGCCTCCTCTCAGTCCTTCACATTTGTGGATCAGATGAAGGAGGCAATTCCTCCACATCCCCACTAGACAGCTGCAGCTCTGCACCTTCTCTGCCCTGCTCTTCCCACCAGCCCTCTAGTGTCTCCAGCTGCAGCTGTGCTTTTCCTTTTCCTCTATCAACTGGCTGTTTGTCTGGTCACCCTTGTGTCAACCTCTCCACTGAGCCTTGCCCCTCCACTCCTGGCTAAGAGCTGTTGGCAACTTACCGATGCTGCTCCTGGCAACTTACCAGTGCTGCTTTGAGAAGTTTTCCCCCCCTCCAAAGTTTCTGGGGCTGGCTCTTCCCCATTGTCCAATCTGGTGTCTGGGGAGACTATCACATGACTTGATTTACAAAAGGTTTTTTGAAGTACCTTTTGAAATGGATTCTGAAATATCTAAAATATAGAACAGTTTTAAGATGCCCATCTAGCTTCAATCTCCTTTTTCTGTGGTTGGTGCCTTCATGCTTTTTTTATTCTAGCAAAATGAAGTACAAGCGAATCTCTATCTTTCCTATAAGATGTTTTGCCTGATAGAATTTGGACCATTCCAAATTAATTTAATTTCCTTCAGGAAAAGTCTCTGGATAGCAGTAGTACTACTTGAAAGACAGCTTGGGGTAGGTGAAAGAAAATTATTTCCAAGAGAAAAACACATAATATCTGTTTGGCTATTTTGTGTATTATTTTTATGGGGAAATTTTACTAAATTGCAAAATGAAAGAAACTGAACATTAATTTAGACATGTTTGGAATTATATGCTTTGCTCAGGAATTCCATGAGATTGACTTAACCCTGTTAACCACCGCTGAACACATGGGCTTTGGTGAGTAAATTAACAAACATGATGAGGTTATATGTACACAAAGAAAGACATGAGCTTTGAAGTTAATGCTAGGCAAACTATTGGTTTCCTTTTCAAGATACCTCTACTGAAAACTTTATTCCTTTTAAAATGAGCCTGAAGACAGGGCACTATGGTTCAATTTTTATACTGCTAAGGTCACCATGAAAATACAGAAACTAGAATGCAATGGTGCAAGTACACATTAAACAAAAGTCTCTGGTGAGATAATTTTACAGCGAAGTAAGGTAAGTGTTCCTATGAGCTGATGTAATTCCAAATATAGGAAACTACAGTTATTGTGGACAAGTCCCATTTATTATCAGGTCTGTCAGGGATTGTCAGGAAAAATCAGAATAGAAATAGGAAGACATATTTCATTTGACCTTTACCAGCTAATTTAATCAAGTCAGCCCGATATACAATATGAAAAAACATCTGCTGATAAGAAAGAACTATAGCTTTCTTTGTTTTGAGTCTGGAAGTAGCTCAGAGGCTTCATTAACCATTCAGTGTCTTCAAGCAAATCTTGGACCCATACTGTGCAACAATTTCCTTTTCCTTACATAAGGAAATATTTCCGTTCTGTGTCCATTTAAAGAACCTGAAAAGCTTTTGAGGTACAATTAAAATGCCACACATTGTGTTATTAATTGAAAGTTTCAAATATCT